GAGTCTCCAGCCGTAATGGACACCATGTCAGAGACTTCAGCTGTCATGGATGCCACACCAGTTTCCAGCCATCATGAACATTGCACATGAAGCTACCATGGCAGTCCTTAACTCCATCTGCTCTGCCTTGGCAATCTTCAGTCCCGTCTGATCTGCTGTGGTGGTCTTCTCCTCCACTGTGGGGTCCTTCGGTCCAGAAAACAGCCAGTAGCCTTTCAGGTAGCCTTTAGCAAAAGTAGCTTTAAATCAATACTGCCTATAGCAGGGGTGGCAAACGTCGGTCCTGGAGAGTCGCAGCCCTGCTAAGTTTTGCTTCAACCCTAATCAAACACACCTGAACAAGCTAATCATGGTCTGAACGGTTACTAGGGAGCTACAGGCAGGTGAGTTTTAATTAGGGTTGGAGCTGATCTCTGCAGGGCTGCGGCTCTCCAGGACCGGAGTTCGCCACCCCTGGCCTATAGGTTCAAAAGGGGCTGAGACAGTGCATTTACAGTTAAGAACCACAGATATATCCCACTGTGGAATCAGCTTTGAAACCCTGTTCAGATGTCACACACCTCTCATAAACCAGCATGTGGGTGGGTGTTAAAGGGGTCATGAACTGCCTTTGTTTTTTATTTTGTACTGTTCTCTGACGTCCACTAATAATGTAGCGTACTTTCTTCATAGTCGGACGCTGCTGTGATTAAGGTCAAAAATGCATAAATAACTCAATAAGTTACATAATCAAACGATCTGTAAGAAGAGACAAAGCAATAGTGACCCAGTAATAAAAACAGTTACTCACACTCCAATTGTCACGGGTTGCTACTGTGAGGAGCATGGAGCGAGGAGACCTCAACTATTAAAGGAGTTTAATATTCTTCTACCAAATAAGGACAACAGGAACTAAACGGGAACATACACGTGACACCAATATAGTTGGCACAGCATAGTCTTTTAGTTTCAATCTTTTTGAAAATCCCACTTCGAATTATGCCTTGTTTGTAAACGAATCCACAGTAAAATTAAGTGAAAAAAGGACCGAGTTATTACTGACGCGGTCTCGATCTTCATTAAAAATAAAGTTCGTCCACTCTTTCCTAACATTGGGATCAGAAGGAAGGCAATGCAAAGACGTTTTTCCACAACTTATTTCCACAACTTGGCACTGCACAGCATCTTGTTGTCTTTAGAGCATCTTTATCATTTGGCTTCTGCGTAGACCTGTGCATTCGCCTCTCTCGTAAACACTACATGTGTGAATCAGTGGGCAGGGCTAAACAGGCAGTGATGTAGAAGCAGGCGTTGATCTTCTTCTGCAGAGGCAGTGCTTATCCACACTATTACATCATAGAGTAGAACGGGGCTGCCCAAACTCGGTCCTGGAGGGCCGGTGTCCTGAAGAGTTTAGCTCCAACTTGCCTCAACACGCCTGCCTTTAAGTTTCTAGTATGCCTTCCCAGGTGAAAAAGAAATATATTTAAATTGTGCTTTTTCAGACATACTTACTATATTTAAATTATACTATACTAAGTGCATATTAAATGTATTATTTTGAAACAACTTTAAGTATATTAAGTGTATTTCAAGATATGTTTAAGTTAAATTTTAATCTATTTGTAATATATTTAATATATTGAAATTGTGTTAAAATGGAACCACTTTAAGTATATTTAGTGCAATTTAAGTGTATTTCTTAAAATACATTTAAAATGTCCTTTTAATACTTCATGAACTACATTTAGAGTATATTTGAAGCATCATTTTAATGTACTTCAAGTACATTTCAATTGTATTTCAGCTCATTGGAAATGCATTAGCATTACACTACTAGTATATTATAAAGCTGCATTTTTCAGTATATACACACATGTACACACTTTGATATCTAGAAAACTTTAATGTATTATATATTGTTGTGTACATTACAAATATTCATAAAGTACACTAAAAAAGGACAGCAGCATATATACTTTGGTGAAAAACAAAACAAAACATACTATTAAATGCATTAAAAATGCACTTGAAATACAAGTATGTTTATAGTATATTTGTATTACTACAAACATACTC